GTTGCTTTAAAGGTGCGATAGTGTGTCTATATATTGGTAAATTATTATTAGGTTTAATTGGATGAATTTTAGAGTAGGTTTTTGATGTGGTTGGTTTTGATAGAGGAAGAAGAATAGGAACGGAGATAAGAACAGAGGAAGATAAGGAGAAGAACTAGAGGATAAGCAAACAATAATTCTCATTCATACCATCCTCTCTATTACAACCACTATATATAACTACACATCTCTATCCACTAACATCACTCCTCTCTGCAACTACCCACTACACCACTCCTCTCTCTACAACTATCCACTAACACCACTCTTCTCTCTACAACCCCCCCCCCCTAAGGATCCTTGTCCGCAAGGATAGTGAAAGGAAATTTCTTCTTGACTCTCTGGTTCATGTTGAACATTGTTATCATCATCGATCATGAATAGTTATGGACGTTTACAGTGATGACCCGGAATGAACTTCTCATCACAATAGTAACATAACCCCTTCTCTCGACGGTCTCGCGCCTCTTGGTTAATGATTTGACGGAATGTTGTTATAGTAGTATTTGAACTTGCATTCACACTCTGAGTTGGTGGAGGACCTAGTACACCAGCTGTTGGGTTGGGGGTGGTCACCTTTTTCCGAAGCAAGTTCCTCTCTTCAATTAATCTGGTCACTCTAATTGCATCCACTAACGTACGAGGCTATTTAACCTTAACGTCCAAACGTATCTCATCCTTGAGTCCTGCAACAAAGCATCCAATGAGGTAATTTTGTGGCAACCCATCAATTCTTTGAGATAGTTTTTCGAACATAGTTTGGTAAGCAGCCACTGAAGTAACTTGTTTGAGCCACGTGAGTGCCTCTGAAGGGTCTTCATAATCAGTCGGACCGAATCGTTGCAACACTGCACGTGTGAATTCTGGCCATGTTAATGGACCCTGAAACTTGTTCAACCACCGATACCATTGGAGTGCCTCACCCTCCAAATGAAAAGCTGCTAATTGCACTTGTTGCACAGGCTCAACTCCGTGGAATGTGAAATATTGTTCGGCTTTGTATATCCACCCGTTTGGGTCCTTACCATTGAATTTTAGAAGTTGGAGTTTTAGGTTGGTTGGGTTGTTATTCCTAGGTCGTGGTTAGGTTTGAAGCTGCCCTTCTTCAATAGCAACCAAAGGGTTGTTTCGGCCGGGTATAGCCGCTGGGTTAGCTACTCGGATCTCGGCTTCCTGGGTCTGATGGAGACGCACAGCTTGTAATTCTTCTAGCACGTGTTCTAGAGTTACATGGATACGATCAATGATGGTCTCATGTTTGGCAAGAGTTTCTTCGACCTCTGCTCGAAATTCCGCATTAGTCTTGGCTCTTGTCTCCATGGTCGACCGGCTCTGATACCAATGATGTGATTGGTTTTGATAAAGGAAGAAGAATAGGAACAGAGATAAGAACAAAGGAAGATAAGGAGAAGAACTAGAGGATAAGCAAACAATAATTCTCATTCATACAATCCTCTCCATTACAACCACTATATATAACTACACTAATTATCTCTATCCACTAACATCACTCCTCTCTACAACTATCCACTACACCACTCCTCTCTCTACAACTATCCACTAACACCACTCTTCCCACTATCTCTGTTAGTTGCACGTATCAATTTTCTAAGATCATACCTCTTTCGAATGTTATAATGGTTGTATATATTAGTAATTTAAATTTCTATTGCATTTATAAAGAGACTTGATGGAGATACTTTTGTCTTGGCAGCTTACTCTAAAAGAACGTTGCATATTAGCTTTAAAATATAAATTTTTTCTTTACGATGTTATATGGATGTTTGCTTGGTTTACTTACTATTCTCTTATTTCTTTCAGTAAGTTGTATCTTTGGATTTATATATATTATTGACACAATTTATGATGGCATGTATATCTTCTCTATAAAATTGAGACAATTATATGGTGAATTTTATATTTAGTGATCTTTAATAATAATTTTTGTAATAAAATATACTACCTTCATATTTAAAGATCTTGAATTCTAATAGTGCTATTACATCATTATCTTTGAGTGTGTCTTTAAGAATTGATCCTTCGCTAATAGTCATACCCCTAAATAAAATCGCACGCAAGATCGTGATACTATATAAGAAAAAGAAAAAGGTGATTTTATATTTTTTGCTTACACAGAGTCATGACATAGTAATTTTTCTTTATCTTCCATGAAGAATGTTTCTTTGATTGGAACAAAGTGTTCAATATATTCTTCAGGGGGTACTCAGTCGATGTTTCTTTGATAAATATAATATATGTTAGTGTTAATTGAAGTGATTCATGGACGTTCCGAATTCCATTTGAAATGAAAATCACTTGATTCTTTTGAAGGATATCTCTAAATTTTCTAATATTTCTCCATGCATAAATCTTTATAATTTTTTACCCTATACATATTATTACCATTAGAGATTAATATTTATAAATTATAATCAATTAATGTTAACCTATAATATTATAGTTTTTATCAGTTTTTTACGATTTAGTCTTCTATCAATTAATGATACTTATGTATTTTTGCTGCTCTAACATATTGGTAAAATTATATGCAATTATTTTATTTTATACAATAACAGTAAGTTTTAATTTATCATATATTTTTTTATTCTTTAACTGGATATTTTAATCTATTATTATTACTATTTTTCTACCAATATCAACTTAACTATTTTTAGATTCTGAAAAGGGATAGTAAACCTTAAATTATAAGTTATATTTATATATCTTAATGAAAGAATATCACACAATTACTCTTTTCTTTGCCAAGTTCTAAATTTTTAGCTTTTTATTTTGTGTAATTTTAAACTTTTGAGAGTATTTTTTCTAATTTTTAAATTTTTTTTCTTTTTTTGTAATACTTCAAGTAATAAATTGATACTACAGAGCTGTTTCATATATTTATTAATCTTATTTAAATTGTTGAAGTATAGATAGTTCATGGGGTATTAGGATAGGATATAAGTATGATTAAGATAGATTATAATTTAAATTAAATATTTATAATAGTACAGGGTAATTTTGACTATGGAAAGCTTTTCCTAAACTCGTGCTTTTAAACGGAGTATGATTTTTATTTTCCTTAATTTTTTTTATAATTTTGAGAATGACTTTTGTCTCTTTAATTTGTTTGGTTAATTTTGTAAATATCTCATCCACATTATGTACATTTATAGGTCTACATTGTTCCTGGGTTCGACCTTTGGGATAGACATTATTTGTCTTATTAATTTATTTAGTTTTTGCATATATGCCATTTATTTTGTAGACATTTGTAAAATTAGCATTTAATAATTTTATTTAGATTTACATTTCAATTTAAAGTGTATCATTATCTTCATACTATGTATATCCAATAAGAATTCATCAATTTATCCACTTACTCTTACTTAATAGATCATAATATTTGAATTCCAAGGGTAATTTTGTCTACCAAAAGATTTTCCCGAATTCGTGCTTTTAAATATAGTATGAAATTTGCAAAAAAATGCTACTGCTAATTCGGTGGGAGGAAACTGTAAGCTTCAAAAAAAATTAAAAATTAAAATAATTCCACTTCATCAAAATAAATCTTTTTTACAAAAAACTATCTACATTAAAGTTTTCTTATATAAAAAAATTATGTAGCTTTTGCACTACTTGCTTTCAGCCAAACATTGAATTTGTATTGGAACTATATGTTCTACAATATAATTTCAGATATCCAAAAAATGAATTTAAAGTTGTTTACTTGAAATAAATGTTGCATGTAACATTTGCTGCAATTTATTTTTCCAACAAACCAAATAGTTCCTTTTATAACATACAGAAGTGGGTTGTGTGGCGCTTTTCAAAATTTTGCACTTGTAATAATAATAAGTGCAATTGCAAAAGTAACTCCGGTTGGAGTGGGAAGAAATCGAGAAAGACATTCGTCTAGGCTTTGGTACTGTTTGATACAACTGTTTGTTAAGTAAAAGTGCACTTACTTGCGAGAAGAATACACCTTTTTTTGCAAAAATACTTATCACCACATAGAATAGTTTCTCTTTTTTGCTGAAGTTAACTATTTTTACAATTAAAACTGTAAAAATTATAGTTACCTTAAGTAAAAGTTGTAATATTTTTTTTATACGAAATGCCATAAAATATAGTGGTTTTTCAGAGAATTACTATGAAATTTATTGCTTTCAAAAACCACCATAGTGATGTGCACTATTAATAGAGCACCATAATTTCATCTATGTTATGTTAAATAATATGTTTTAGATCCTAAAATACCCTCACGATGGAGCCCATCTATATTTTATAATATTTTATCCTCTCAACAAAAAACCTAACATCCATCCAAAACTTAGTCAATTCCCTCAAACATATTTAATTCCCTCAAAACATCCCTAGCCCACCTCTCCAAAACTTAGTTGCAATGGGCTTTTATGTCATTTCATACTCACGTTATAAACATAAAATGGGTGAAGATTATGACTTGATGACACTTTGTTAATATTATCATGGTGATTTTAGAAAAATTGGAAATTTTGTGGTACCCTGAAAAACTTCTATATTTTATGTCGTTTCATATAAAAAATCCTTTACTATTTACAAATCTCAAGTTTTATCCAAGCAAATAACCACGTTAACAAGGATAGGGAATTTTTTATGTTATACAAAATAATATCGATCGGGTTAAGAATATGTTATATTGCAAGCCTGAACTGGCAGTAAAGAAAATTCTAGATAATTAGCGATAATAATTTCAAGGCATGATTATGAGTTTTTTTATCACAACAAATTTAAGTTCTCTTGTTAAAAATGTTGATATTATGATTGTGTTTCTTTTCAATAGTTATATAAGTTTCAAATTAGAATAAAGGAAAGGCCTTATGTGCAAAACCATCCACAAAACCTTAACATTTCAAAGTAAAAGCAAGACTTTTATGCAAAAGAACACGCGTAGACCTGGTATTCTTATCCCTCCCTTGACAAGATAACTGTATTTCTTTCATAATCTCGTCTTAAAAATCCCCAATCCTTTGAATTCCTCTCTTTTCTCGCTTTCTTCTCTTCATTTCTCAACGCGTTTGTCCAAAAAATCCCCAATTTCTAGGGTTTCAGTTCTTTCTTGCACGATTAATTCTCGATCGATCAAAGATTGAAGGATTCTGGTAGATCATCCTGTGTGTTGAGTGATCAAGGTCTCTCTTTTGATAAGCTTTGTGCGGGCTAGGGCTCAAATTTTCTCGATTTGGAGGTAATTTCTGATGACCACATTGTGATTGGGGTTATTTTTTATGCCATTTATGCCTTTGTTGTGCAATTCGTTTATTAAGGTAGAGTTTGAGATACGAGCAGTCTTTATTTTTTATGGAGGTGTTTTTGATTTGGAATTGGTCAACATTGGGATTCTGATCAGCTGGTTAAATGTCCGGTTGCCATTGGAATTTGACTTCAAGACTGAATTTTTTAGTCTTTTGATCAAAGAGTTGCACTTTAATTGTTGGGTATTTAGGCTTAGTTGATCTCTGCTAATTTAGTTTATATTCAGAATGAATGAAATGTTTTTCCTTTGACAGAAGTCTTTAAGTTCTTTGAAGCTCTTGAAATTGACACCATCGTTTGAGTTTTGGGAATTCTTGTCATCCTCGCATCTCTTGCATCATTTATTTTTTCTTATGTCAATTATGTCGATATTCTTCAAGCCCTTTCATTACAAAACTTTGAGGTTGTGGTGAGGGCTGAGGGTTATAATTTTAAACTCTAGAATGCCCCCACAGATGAAGTGCCTTTTTCACGAGTCAAAATCTGGACTATTTTATACTATTGTATAGCTTCTAAATCCTCTTTAAAATTTAATTGCATGTCCAGTGGCTTGGAGTCCAAGTTGCTCTGGTACCATCAATGTTTTAGAAAGCGGATGCGTAAGACGAAGCGTTATTTAGACCCTTTGATGAAGTGAGGCCTAAGCCTCATGAGTTAAGTATGATTTAAGTTTAAAATTTATAAATATTACGAACATTTAAATATAGTGATATATAAAAATTCACGAATAGATACATTCATATCCTGATTAGCATAGATGCAAATCACAATAAACTAACCTACATGCATAATATATGTATCTTATTGATAGTCAGATGGTCATATGTAGACATGTAGGGGCATTTTTAATTTTAGTAAAAAGATCCTTTTACATCCTTGTATCTTGTCTGTGTGTGCTTCTAAAGAGAAACATTTTGGGGAGCATGAAGCGCACGCTTTGGTTATGCTTTAAGCGATGAGGGATGAATATTTTATCTTTTGGTTTTCAAAGTGATTATCCTTCAAAAAGTTGTGTAGAAAAACTTTTCAAATTTTGGATTCCGTTTGTTAGAAACTTAGATAACAGATCCTTATTATCTAGTTGTTAGAGGGAGTGACTCAAATCTCCAAAATCCCACACTTGACTCCACATATGATTCGCTCTTGCAACCAAGGACATGGTTGACTCTGAAAATATTATATATTACTATTAGATCATTTAGCAATTTATTTATGAAAATGAAACCTTGCAACTTAGACATACATTCTATTTTTTTTTCATGTTTGCATCAGCCCATTATCCTACATTCTCTCTTGGTGATAAAATTTTGTATTATGGAACATCCAATAATGTGGTTAAGAACTCTTCTAGACTCATAACTAGCTTTAACTAATTCATCCATAAAACCTGTCTCTCTTAATCAATACTTTCTCCTAACTTGACTCTAGATGGAAAATACTTAATGAAGGAAATGACGGTGTAGAGTTCTCATCTACACATCAATCATTTGCAAAACACTGTGTGGAGTCATGTAAAAAAAGAATCATCTGATGCATGGATAAAAAAGTTTCAAAATTCAGTGATCTTTCACTCTTAAACTATATTTGGATCCAAAGGTCAAGTGAAATGGTTTTTTGGATCGCCTGAACGGCCGAATGATGACCACCATTGAGTTATCACAAAAGCTTATTTTGAGGACTAGTTTACATAGTACAATCTCCATATATTGAAACACATGGAGGGTCATGGAGAGAGAATGAAGAGAGGGAAGGAAGTTTGGCTACTTTTGGAATGATTTTATTGCTTAGTGTAGATTAAGCAACTTGTTAGTTTCTTTTAGCCTCTTGAACGGCACATTCGGCAAGCAAATGATGAAGATTATAAATAACAAATTAGATTTTGAGGGGAAAATAAGTGCAAAAAGATAACTTCAAAATAAGGTGGAGGAAAAAATCATACACTTATGTTCCATGGGCACTCATATCATGAAGTCGTACATGTGACAGACACTCAACAACTGTACTGGACACTAACATTTCCTTGGGCACTCCTTGGGTGCATGCGTTCACTTCTCAATTATATATAGCCTGTGGCAACCTTCCTCTATAATACCTATATGTTTTTCAATCTTGCTTTCTTCATCATTTTCCAGGATAAGGGTCTTAATCTCAGGTATCTTGGTCTGCAATATCGTGTATGTTTTATACAATATTTTTTCTTTGACAATGCCGTCCCTCCTGGATGTAAATTGCAAAATATGTTAATTTTTCTAGCAGGATGATGGTCGTGTTTGCTACCTAGTAACCCCATATTTGTTAGTATCAAGTAGAAAAGATTGCTGGTATATGGTAATTTTGTATTCTTGAAATTTCTGATCATAGAGATTGCATACTTGCACTGCATGCAAATTGACATTACTAGGAATAATCATCGACTAATATTTTGACATCTAGTAGTAAGCAATAAATATTTGTTACTAATATTTTTTGTTGTTGACATTGTAGGATGCAGAGCCAACTTGTGTGCAATGGATGTAGGAATGTTCTTCTTTATCCCAGGGGGGCCACTAACGTTTGTTGTGCAATATGCAATACAATTACCCCAGTACCTCCACCTGGTATCTTTCTTTTTCTGATTATCATGATGCTTTAACCAGAGAACGTCAACTCCTTGTTTTATATTTTATATTAGGGTAATTATTATGAAACCCCCCACAAGTTTGGCCACTTATTATGAAACCCCCTGCTGATATCTTTTTATTACAAAACCCCCTACTGCTTAAAGAGCTGTTAAGTTTTATTTAAAATTGCATGTGCAAGTCACATGCATTTTCATGTTCCAAAGTAGCCCTCTCCTTCTTCTTTTAACATATCCCCCCCACCATTTCATTCCCATCTTATTTCTGTTCATATAATCAATTTCTCTTTTTCGTTCTTTCTCAGATAATTTTATTCTCTTCTATGTTTTCAAAAGTTGCAACTTCATCATGATACACATCTTTTTAGTACACAACATTCTTCCTATTGATTGGTCGATTTCGTATTAATCAATATTCGATTGATTGGTCTAAGGCTATCGACAGACAAGATTTGTCTAAGTCATTTCGTTTCTTTTTGTCCAAGTCGCTTCCCTTTTTGTCCAAGTCATTTCTCTTTTTCTTTGTGAGTAACGGGAATACCCCCATTCATGGGTCCTATTCAGCTTTGCTTGCCGCCTTTTAAGAGAATAGGTCCTGGTTCAAGCAGCCTGCCTTTCATCATCTATACCAGCTGCCACGTACGACCCCATAGGAACGATTTCGGGGAACTCTCCGTACATGCAAAGGACTTCAAAGAAAATTCCAAGGAGGAAACAACCACTCCACAACCATGGCAGGAGCAAGAACCAAGAGAAAGCTTCGCTACAGGGCTTAACAGCGCCTTTGTCAAGGAAAAGAAAAAGATGCGTTGATGAGTTAATGTTAAATGTTTGCCATGTAACAAATAGGAAATGCCTGCTTATTGATAGGAAATTTATCCATGGATTGTAGCCTATTTGGCATTACGCAGCAAGACTTTACCATACCAACAAACCAACAAACAATATATATGTTTTAGGGGAAAAAAGAGAGTTCGGCTATAGTTGAGAGAGAAGAGCAACCCCATTCATGGGGGGTATTTGAGAGATTTTTTCGCTCACGTGCATTGCACATGCTAATCTTAGCAATTATTTTAACAGGAGAGGGTTTTGTAATCAAAAGATAAGGAGAGGGGGTTTCATAATAAGTGTCCAAACTTGAAGGAGGTTTTATAATAAGTACCCTTTATATTATTTCATAACTTTTGGATGAACTGGTGTTGTTGGCAAAGAGAACTTGGGGTTTAATTGAAGGAGAATGTTAATGTGCTGCATTTATCCAGTTTTCTATTTGTTCCTGTATGATATCTTTTAGTTGCCAATGTTACACGGTTTCATAGTGTGCACATTAAAACATGCTCCATAGTCGGGTACATGTTTCTTATCTTATCCAGGAGGAATTATTTTTGATAATTAGGTTACTAGAACATTTCTTTAGCATGTATTGCTTTCATTTGAAAAAAAAAAATTAATGTCTCAGCTACTCTCCATCATTCAAGAACTTTTGTTGACACGTCTTTCGCGTGCCCAACAATTTGTGACTTCCAGATTAAAACTTCATCATGATTTTCTTACTAAGGATGAAATGTCCCCTTTAAAAAATTGCAGTACTTTAAACATCTACTGCAAATATAAGATAGTAAATTTTGTTGCTTCATTCCACTCAAAAACAAATGTACTTGTTTTCGAAACAACCAATTCTGGTAGCCAACCAAATTGATTATATTTTCAAAATTTTGGAGGATTTTGAGATGATATACGAAGTTAATCTGTTTGTCATATGCTTATTTTGTTCAATTTAACAACATTTTCTAGACTGTATGGTGGTTGGACTGTCTTTTAAACAAAGACTAATAAACTAATAGTCCTAATTAAAGAGCATGTACTGACATCTGTTATATAAATTTATATGAGGAATTCAATGTTTAATTAAGGATTTTTTTGGTCATGGAAAAAAAGTGAAAGGGAAAATTAGAATGAAAGACTTTCATGTGGACCCCAATAACTGTTTCATTTCACAGAAAAATGAAACTACTCATATCTTATTTTGAATTCTAAGAAAGGATGAAGAAAGTTTTCTTTTTACCCCTGTTGTGTCATTTTGATTATGCAAATACATTGTAACACTATCTTCCTACAAAAAACTATTCAACTTTGTTTGAATTATTTTATCATTTCATTTCTATTTGCGGAAAGTCAAAAAAACTATGAGTTGCCATTGATTTTCCAAACATAGTGTAAAATTGTATTGTTTTCCATTCAGGACTTTTTTCCCCATTGAGCCAAATATTGGAGAAGTTCACGTTCCAGATATAAGATGATGGTTGAAGTTGTAGAGGGTTATAATGATATTGCAGTTTTTATTTCACTTCTCAATATTTAGTTGCAATATAAGCAGTGAAAAGTACAGCTAGCCAGGAGCTACAAACTGCACACTTTTTACTTTTAACCTTTTTTTTAATAAGGCTTAATTGCACTTAAAATACCCTATAGTTTCTCTACTTTGCACTTATATACCCTCACTTATTTTTAGCAACGCTCATATGCCCTTAAGTTTTTAAATCTTGCATTTATATACTCTCACTCGTTTTTGCAGCACTTATATACCTTAAAGGTTTTAAAAACATGAACTTAAATACCCTAATGTTTTAAAACTTGCATTTAAATACCTGAAGTTATGCAAAATGAGGGCGTTTAAGTTCAAGTTTTATACGTTAGGGTATTAAGTGTTAAATTTTAAAAACATAGGGTGTTAAGTGTAAGTTTTAAAAACTTTAGGGTGTTTAAGTGTCAGTTTTAAAAACTTAAGTAACTAAGTGCAAGTTTTAAAAACTTTAGGGTATGTAACACAAAAAGTGAGGGTATATAAATGAAAGTTTTGAAAACTTTAGGTAGACAAGTGCTACAAAAAACAAGTGAGGGAAACAATAAGGTATTTAAGTGCAATTAATCCCTTTAATAAAAAAAATTCATATTAGAAGAAGGAAGTTCAATTATGTTTAAGGCAATTTCTTTTTAACGCATTTAACTATTGTTAACATATTGGAAAATCTGACATTTTACAGGAATGGAGATGGCTCAACTTGTGTGTGGAAACTGCCGAACGTTGTTGATGTACACCCGAGGTGCAACGAGTGTTAGATGTTCCTGCTGTAATACGATGAATCTTGCTAGATCAGGTGTTGCTCGTCTTTCTGTTCCCGTTAAAATTTTCTTGTCTTAAATGTTAGCATTGCAAATATGCTCTTTTCATAAAGTTTAGCCTATATGTTTCTTTCACTGTGTTCTATACAAAGAAACTTTGGACCATATTTGTTATATATATAATAATGTTGAAAATAGCGATAATGCATAATTTAATGCTCTACCTTCTGTTATGGGTTAAAGAAAAGAAAGGGAAAAATGGTAGCACATATTGTAGATTATTTGGTTTATTAATTATTTAAATATATTATGAATACATGCATTTCATAATGTCTTTAATAATTGAACTCATCAAAATTTTCAAATATATCATCACAATTATCAAATATAGAAATATAGTATCACAATTTCTTAACAAAATTTAGTTATATTTGACTAACAATCAGTCTAAAAAGCATCATCAAACGACCAAATACATCAAGTTTAAAGCAATCAAACAAGTCTTAGCAAAATCAAACATTTCAAAGACTTAATTGTAAAATGAACGAAAATATGGAAAATACCTTGCTGCAGCCCTCAATCTCCCAACCAAGTCGTAGCCGTTGCGATGAAATCCTCAACCATGGATGGGAAGTAGAGCTACTGGAGAAGTCTTCTTCATTGGATAGAGGTTGTCTTTGTCGAGAGGAGATAAAGGTTTATTTTGGGGAGGAGCCAGATAGGGAGGAGCTAGGTTTAGTTTTGGAACTTCGTCTTCATCGAAGGCATGGAAGGCTTTTGTCTTAGGCGTTGGAAAGGGGAAGAGATGAAGGGGGCGGAACTGGAGAGGAGTTACAGGGGAAGCTTCGTCGCAGGTGAGAGGAAGGAGCTAATGTTTGTTTTGAGTGAGAGGCAAAGGTCCATGATCTCAGTTGTGAATGAAAGCAATAGGGATCGAGAGGTAATGAGTTAGGGTTAGCTTATCTAAACAGCGATGATACATCCACATGTCTAAATATGTTGAATAATTTAACTCAACTTAACTCACGTTATATTAAAGGTTATATAACTTACGTTATAGTATTTTTAACATGTTTTTTAGTGTTAAATGAAGTCTGTGTTATTTACTTGGGTTACATAACAAAATGCGACTGTTAGGTTATGAAACAAGTTATAACAAATTTTGAAATTTATTTTTTTCTAAATTATATATATAGGGTTTAATGGCTATGAGGAGGCGGCTCATCTAGCAAAATGATCTACCAAGAGATATAGGTGAGAGACCCACATCTTTTGATATGACTTATAGAGTGGGTCTCATTACATGATTATCTTTTGGCAGTTCATTTAGTAAAATGAGTCGTCATCTTATACCCATTATTCTCCCCTTACCCCCA